TGTCTGTGTCTGTGTGTGTGTGTGTGTGTCTGTCTGTCTGTCTGTCTGTCTTCGTTCAGTCAGTCAACAGTTTCAAACAAAAACAAATACCTGTCTGTTTTAGGGGCGGGACTTCCTGTTGCTATGGTACCCAGGAAACGGGCAGCGGCCCGGAGACATTGCCACGGTGCTGGTGATGACGAGTCAGACCTGGACGTGATGCTGGTGGAGCGACTGAGTGCGCTTGAAGACTTCCTGACACGTCAAGGCCTGGACGTGTGAGCTGTGACATCACTTCCTGTCAGCTGACTATAGGCCAAATAAACAGAGCTGCTAGCATGGCTGCTACCGCTGGTTACCATGGTAATGCAGTCAGCCCGTCAGTCTGATGTAGCGGGGTTTGTTTTTATTTTTTGCAGTGTTTTGATTTGTTTTAGTTTGGAGTTTTTTACAGTGTCACTGATTAATGTGAATTTACTGTCAGGAGGCCACGCCCACTGCACGGCTCAGGTGGCTTCACCTGTCAGGAGGCCACGCCCACTGCACGGCTCAGGTGGCTTCACCTGTCAGGAGGCCACGCCCACTGCACGGCTCAGGTGGCTTCACCTGTCATTTCCTCTTTTGTTTTATAAAGACTTCTCTGTAGTACTGTGAGTTTTTAAAGTGTAATATATATTTCTGCTGAAAATGGGTCTATTTTTGGAACAAATAAAGTTTGTTTCTGCTCACTGACGTTTGTCACTGTTATTCCTGTTATTGGCCAGTGATCTATCAGCTTCCTGTTATTGGCCAGTGATCTATCAGCTTCCTGTCCTCACCCTCATCAATACCTCTGTGAGCCGCCACTGCCCGTCAACAAAAACAAAGACAACTATGGTTAAATGTGATAAGACCAAAGGACTGGACGGAGGCCATCATCAAAAATGCTCACATGTGCAGCGCACACTTCATATCAGGTTAGGGAAAAAGTATTTCCTGTTGTAGGGATGAATAAGGTTATGTGTATTAAGGGTTATCATGTCCACCTCATCAGAAACTGGGGAGGGATTAAGAGGAAGATTGGATTTCTCTGCAACGCTAACTTTTTAGCACATTAGCTAACGTTAGCTTCCATAGCAAAACAAACAAGTGTCGTCCTCCTTTGTAAGATTGGCTTCCTGTGACATCATCCATCCACTGAGTGAGAGCATACGGGTCGGCCAGTCTGGTCCCGTTGGTCAGTGTTTACTTATTCTAGTAACACTGGCGGTCCCGGAGAGTGAGTGACCTGACATGGTGCGTTGGTAAATTCAGTCTGACGCTCCAGTTTGTGTCAGAGTGCGCTCCCACACTCACAATGAGTGTTTCTGAACGCACCACTCACATCATCTTCCTCCATCGTCTTAAACACAACACAACTTGTTAGCTAGCGCTAGCTAATGTCTGTGGAGAACTGTTTTGCCTCCAGCTAAGCCCCGCCCACCAACACACGTCATCCTGTCTACTAACAGTAAAAGTGTTTTTAACACATCTGAACTCTGAGAGTTTACATGTACATTCACACATACATAGGCCTATATGTACATATATGTATGTATATGGATTTTCACATTTCCAACGGTCCTTGAACGCAACATGACAAACGATAGCCTACATTATTTCAGACATTTCATCAGAATTTTATGTTTCATTAAAAGTTGTCCAAATATGAAAAAAAAAATGATGACAAACTTAAACTTTTCAAAATTTTAACTTTTACTTTAAAAGTTTTAAAAACCTAATAACTGGTGTTTACTGATTCACCATCGAGTTAAAAATCAGAACAATGAGAACAAGAAAAGGAAACAAACAACTCCATTCATTTATCACAGAGTTTCTCTCTTCACCATCTGTTATATCCTTCAACTACTTTAATTATGGATACAATCAGAGTCTGTCTGTCTGTCTGTCAGAGAGTCTGTCTGTCTGTCAGAGAGCCTGTCTGTCTGTCTGTCAGAGAGCCTGTCTGTCTGTCAGAGAGTCTGTCTGTCTGTCAGAGTCTGTCTGTCTGTCAGAGAGCCTGTCTGTCAGAGAGCCTGTCTGACCATCATTTCCATTCAGTCACACTGAGGCTGACCACTCCTCAGCGTCGGGTTGATGAGTTGCCTAATTTTAATTTCCCTTGAAACATTTGGCCTAATAAATTATTTCAAAGACACCATGATCATATTCTGGGTTATTAAATAATGAACTCACAATCAGAATATCAATAAATAAAGATGTAAATACAGAATGAATTATATAAAGACATTGTGTGACTGAGCAGGACACATTATAAATACAGAACGCAGGTTGTTGTTCATGTGCAGCTGATTGTGAGACAGAAAACACTGCTGCTCTGTTACTGAGAACATCATGTGGTAACTGTATCTGTGTCTTCATCATTATATATATAACATTATGTGTGTGCAGACACAAACTCCATTAAAACTTTCTGTAGCTGTTAATAAAGCCTGTCATCAGCTGCCGCCGTCATTAGAAACTGACGTCGCTTCTCTCCTCGTGTCTCATCCTCTCATCTCTCCTCGTGTTCTATGAGGGCGGAGCTAAGACGCAAGGAAGAGACTCAAGTGAGGGAAACATGGATGCGAGAAATGGTTTTGGGATGAACCCAGAGAGCTGAAGCCTTCATCACTGGAGGATGACTCTGGTGTTTGTCTCATTCATATCTGACCCCCACCCCCGCCGTGTGACGTCATCTGTGTTTAGAGGCCATATTGTGAGAAATAAAACCCGTCTGTGATGAACTTATTAACATTCAGCTTTAATCTTCATCCATCAGCTCGGTTTAATCTTCATCTTCATCATTAACATGAACTTCCGGTATCATTAGCCTTACCTGACAGGCAGCAGCTGCCGCAGTTTCACCTGACAGACTTTCTTTTTTTAATCCTTTATTAATAGACTTTACATTGCATTACATTAAATGCAATTATAACAACGTATTGCAGAACATTGGATGTGTATTCATAACAACGCATTGTTGATTAACATGTTGCTACTCTGTAACATCCTGCAAAAAGACATTAATAACATGTAAAATGACATAACTAAAAAGAAGATAAAATGGACCAAAAGGAACAGAAAATAACTCATATGCTAATAACATAAGAAGGAAAAGAAAACATGTCCCGACAATAAGGTGTATGAGGGAAAAACTATACCATATGCCGAACAGCCTCATCAGTTTTGTTACATATCACACATTTAGATCATTCAATACGTAGGATTTTACCAATTATTTGAGAGGTCTTAAAAGCTTTCTTGTTTTTAGTTGTTTTGGAGACAGAAGCAAAGAGATATTGTAATTCGACACGAAATAAATTTACGTTAGGTTTAGTCTGAGTGATTCTAGATTTATGAATGTGAAACTTGCCAGTAAGACAGATGGCTTTGAGAGCACAGTTGATAGAGAAAATCAGTAGAGCAGCATCAGTCCAAAATTCTCGAGAAAAGGAACAAGTGTAGAATAGATGAGAAATCGATTCGCTTTCAGCTTTACAGAAAGAGCAAAGTGGAGAGACAGTTGCTGACACCTGACAGACCTGACTCGGGGAAATGCTGGCTCTCCGCTGTATCGTGACGCACGACGTGCTGCGTCACTTCCTCAAACAACATGGCGGCGGCCTGGCGGAGGGTGTGCAGCGGACTGACTGTCAGGTATTCACCTTTGTTTTGGTTCTTTAAAGTAAACACAGCTACGTCAGTGACGTCTTCACTCTGCAGCCTCGAGGCGAACACGTCATACCGTGTGACGTTTGTGCGGTGTTAGTGACGCTGTGTGTTAATGACGTATGACTCCACCAGACCCCGCTCAGAGTTTGTATCAAATTAACATTTGATGACAACATGCAGCTGGTGTGTTGAGTGTGACGTCCGACAGGTTAAGAGTGTGTGAATGAGAGGGATAAAGGTTTTGGCTCAGGTAACACGAACCACGTGTTTAACATACACCTGATTACGTCACAGGAACAGGTGAACGGGAGCTGACTGAAGCTGCTCTGGGTCAGAGTCAAGGGTCCCACAGAGACAAGTGTCCTCATGTGATCATCATTAACCCTCAGCAGACTGAGGAGGTTTCACTTACTGTGACCTGATGGACTGACTGATGGACTGACTGATGGACTGACAGCAGTCTCAGGCGTGTTTTTTTATCTTCTTCTAATTGAATCTTTATTTAAACTGTTCACAGCAGCAGGATAAAGGATGTGAGGAATCAATAACCAATATCATTTATTTGTTTATTTATTTATTTATTTAGAAAATCAGGACAACGCATATTAATGAACATGTACGACAGCACACGTAAATATGCCAGATTGTAACCCGGGGGCTAATTTCCATCTGGAGTCCTTTAAGCATGTTGATTTTACAATACAAAAGAACAAGAGATATACAGTATTAAAAGTTTGTTATTTAAAACAAAAAAAGAAACAGAAAGCAGTTGCAGGAGAAAACAGGACAATGCATAAGTATGCGTTACAACAGGGAGTTAATACAGTACAGCAAGCAGTTAGGGGCGATTGCACGTTTGGTTCGCTCTAAGCCACACCTTCAGGTGGCTCTTGAAGGTGGCCAGGGTGGGACATTCCCTTATGGTAGAGGGCAGTGTGTTCCAAGCTGCACTCCCTTTAATAGACAGGGCGTTTTGGCTGAAGGACACAGAGTGAGAAAGCATGGTAGTAGAAGGTTGCTTCGACAAAAATAAACAAACAGGTTTTTTTGCATTTAAGATCTAGTAAGCCATGCTCATATGTGTGTAAGAGCTATTGAGAGCACACGTGCTGCCTCCTCAGGATTTTTAGCTTTAGTAAAAATTACAGTGTCGTCAGTGTAAAGCTGGACATCCACATGTAAACAAAAATCAGGTAAATCATTAATATACAATGAAAATAAGGGGGCATTCACACCTACCTCGTTTGGTCCGGACTTTCGGACTTTCCAGATAGTTCGGATCAAATTGACAGGTGTGAAAGCTCCCCTGGACCACGGTCCGGACTAAAGACCGAGTCTTTGGTCCAGCCTCAGGAGGTGGTCTCGGTCCGGACCATCCTGGACCAAGGTCCGCTACTGTGTAGTGTGAAAGCATGTTTTTGGAAGGTCCGAACTATCAGACCAAATACAGGACGTTACGTCACTTTCACCCCACGTGTAAGCTAAACAAAACAAACACAGTATGAGCCGCAGCAACACCTGGGGAGAGGAGGAGACAAGATTCATCCTTCAAATATGGGCGGATGATAGAATAAAAGCTGAACTTGAGAGAACACACCGGAACACGGAAACCTTCCAGCTGTTCGCGGAGAGGATGAGAGAGGGGGGGTACGAGAGGACGGCCGAACAGTGTCACCGCAAACTGAAAAAGCTGCGACAGGCTTATAACAAGGCGCGCGATGCCATTCGGAAGACCGGTGCGTCATCCAACGAAAAGGATAAATGTCCTTTTTATGATCAGCTGGATGGCATCCTTGGAACGCGCCCGACAAGCTCACCTGTCAGGGTGATGGAGTCTACACCCGCTGCGGGTGCGACCCCCAGCGCCGACACGTCATCTGGCAGCGGTCCCAGTGCTTCAGAAAGTGGTGAGTTGAGCCACATAATGTGTCTGCTATTGTCATTATTATTATTATTTGCAGTGTTATTTATACTTTGATTTCATGGGTGGACCCCAGGAAAATCAGTGGCTGCTGTGCATCTGCTAATGGGGATCCAAT